GGGAGCCCAGAGAGTGGCCCTCACCCCAGGAGGATCCAGGACACCACGGCTACAAGTCAGCAGAGGAAATGGGCCCACTTGGGGGCCTGGCCCATCCCCACCCGGCCCTGGCAGGGCCCTCTCTGGGGACTTCGCCAAGGTCCCCAGTGCCAGTCAGTGGCAAGGTGCACACAGGGGCAGAAGCCCCCAGAGCCCGAGGGCTGGTAGCAATGCAGCGGCCCCAGCACAGGCCAGTGCTCTGCCCTGCCCCCCAGGGCCAGCCCCCACCTGCTGCCAGCAGGGGACCTCATACCTGTTGTGACAAACTGGAAATCGCCTAGATGGTCTTTTCTAGGGCGCTGAGGAGCACCACCTACGGCAGGGCCAGCCACAGGCCCACGTCCAAGGGCTCTACAGGGCCCGGGGGGTCCCCTGAGAGGCTACCGCTGGGGGAAACAGGGGTCCCAGGCTTTGCAGGGCCCATGGGTGGGGCCATGCCCACCATGGCTCCCGCCAGGCCGATACCCACCCACTGAGCGTCTGGGGCTGGTCACAGTATGCAACAGGTGTCCAACAGATGCCAGAGAGGACCAGGAAGTCAGTGAGGAGTGAGGGGGAAACTAGGCCCTGCTTGCAGGCGGAGGGGAGCAGCTGGGGGCACACAGGCACACCAAGGCCTCCCGTCCACAGGGCAGGCCACTGCCCAGCCAGGGCAGCTCCAGGTGGCACAGAGGCCGCCCTGGGCCCCACACAGGGCGTCCAGAGACAGCATGGGCTGAGCCTCAGCCTCTCAGCCATGGGCCTCACCACAGTGAAGCAGCGGGGAAGGGAGTGAATGGCCCCCAGGAGACCTCCCCAATCCCAGACAGGAAAGCAGAGGCGGCCACTGCGAGGTCAGCCTACGTGGCAGGAACCTCACTCAGGCAAATTCAACTGCCAATCAAAAGGGGGTGGAGCCTCTGTTCAGCCAGGCCCCGCCTCCACCTTCCTACCCTTCTCTTTTATTTTAAGGTAGGGTCTCGCCAAGTGGCTGAGCCTTGCACTGTGATCCTGCCTTAGCCTCCCAGATGGCTGGCACTGCAGGGGGGAGCCGCCATGCCTGGCTGCGCTTCCCAGCTTTCAAGATGGGAATGAAGACTTTACCAAACACCCCAGGCCTGGAAGGGCCCTAGGGCAGGGCAGCCTCTGACAAGGTGCCCTGCCGCAGAGGGTGTCCCGAGCCACAGCAGCCTGGCTTGCAGGGGAGGAAAGGAGTAGGAGCAAGAGACCCAAAGGGCGCCACCCCTTACCGTGTGGGGCCGGGCGATCTGCACCGGGTAGGAGATGCCATGGGGCGGGTAGCGGGCCTCGGTGGCCCTCCATGTCTGTGCCACGGGCTGCGTGGATCCCGACATGGTGGCAGGAGCTGAGCCTCAGGCCCTGAAGAACGCTCTGGTGACCACCACTGAGGACTAAAGGCCAGTCCTTGCCATCTGATCACGGGCCACTGTCACAAGCTCCTGTGGAGACAAAAAAGCAGATGAGTGGGGAGGGCAGGCCCTGCAGGACCAGGGCTGCCCGCTAACCGCCTGCTGATCACCCGCTGGGGCTCCCCACCCTGCTCAGTGACCACTCCCAGCACAGGGCAGGGGACAGAGCCAGGCCTGCGGACACCGCACAGGCCTGGGGTCAGAGGGGACGCTGCCCCTCCCAGGCCCAGGCCCTCGCCCACCCACCCCACAGCTACGGCTCCCCACGCCACAGCCGCCAGGACTCTCCTCGTCCCCAGGGCAAGGTTCTCCAAAAGCCCCTGGCAGCTCCCGCATAGCACCAGCCCGGGAGGTGTGGCCAGGGCCAGCTGAGTAGACCTCTGGTGGCAGCGGGGGCTGGGCAAGGCTGGCCTCTAGGGCCTCCTGTGGCCTCCTGAAGGATGACATCATGACATGAGGGAGGGAGGGACCATGCAGGGTCAGGGCCACGCCAAGAAAGGGGCTGCACCCTGGGCAGGCGACCGGGACTTCCAGGGTCACAACCAGCACCTTCTCAGGCAGAAGCCCCGTGGCCATGCCGGACAGAACCAGAAGGACGGCCAGCCATCTTCGAGATGGGGCTGACCCCAGCCAGTGAGGGTTGGCCCTGGGCTGGAGAGAGCAGCCTGAGGGCCACCTTGGCCTGCCAGGACAGGTGCCAGCCAGTGGGAGGGCGGGGCTGCAGGACAGCGAGGCCACCCTGGGGACAGCTGGCCTGAGGCAGAGGCACCCTCCTGTGCATCCTTCCTTGCCCGCCCACGCGGGCTCCTGTCACCTGCCACAGGATGGCTGCTGGCACAGGGAGAGCAGGAATCAGGAGGCCACCTCCAAGACAGCAAGGGCTCTCCAGTCACTTGGCGCAGAGCCAGAGCCAGGGCGGCCCCGGGATTTCCCTGGCTGCAGGACGGCTGCCCCCTAACTGTGGCGGCGGGAACAAGCCCTGCCCAGCCACCCCCAAGCTGTGTGGCCCAGGGCAAGTGGGTTCCCTTCTCTGAACCTCAGCTTCGGGGCTGCACAGCGGGTGATGTGAGGGTGGCATGGACACAGGTCTCCTGAGCAGGCTCGGCCCAGCCGCCAGCCACTCCTGCCCACACCTGCTCTGCCCACCCGCCAGACGTCCTCACCCACAGCCTTGACAGACGAGGGCGCCACGTACAGCTGGAGCCACGGGAAGCAGCAGGAGAGTCGGTGGACGCGCGGGCAGGGCACACTGGGAAGATGGGGTCTCTGGGGACCGCGCACATGTGAGAACAGCCGAAGGCCTCCTGCTGCCCAGAGCGGGGCTGGACCACCCTCCCGACTGGCCCTCCCGAGCGGCCACCCC